TTGCTGCCTGTGTTCTCCTCAAGGATTTTGATGGATTCCTTTCTCACATTGAGGTCCTTCATCCATTTTGAGTATATTGTCGTGTGTGGTGTAAGGAAATGGTCCAATTTCATTTTTCTGCATGTGGCTGTCCAATTTTCCCAACACCATTTATTGAAGAGGCTGTCTTTTTTCCGTTGGACATTCTTTCCTGCTTTGTCAAAAATTAGTTGACCATAGAGTTGAGGGTAAAGCCTGATGTTTTTAATAAATTACCAAGTACTTCCTCATCTTCATTGTTAGCTCCATTTTTAATATGCCAATAGTTGTCCTTGGAAGGCAGGTCCCTGCAGGACCCGACTCAGAACCACCTGGAGTGACTACACATTTCTGGGCTCCAGCATCTATGAGAGGACAGCTGGGAGGAAAGCCCTGGAATCAGCCCTTTAACAAGCTTCTTCAGATAATCTCGGTGTATACTAAAGTTGGAGAAGTCATGGCCTTAACAGGCAGAACTTTTTACAAATTACAGAATATAAAAAATCAATTTTAATTTTATTTTTAAGGCTGTAGTCTCCCTCTCCACACCTCAGTGAGCTCCCTGTGCCAGCTGGCCCTCTTTCCCTAGAGACTCAGCTTGGTGTGACAATGAGGAGTCCAGAATGTGAAGCCAAATGTCATGTGTTTGAATCTCGTGTCTGATGCTTACCAACTGCGATCTTGGGCAACATTTCTGTGACTCAGTGTCCCTGTCTGTGTAATGGGAATATGAATAATACCTAATTCAGATAGGAAGAATATTTGGGCTAATTTTTGTAAATCACTTAAAATTGTGCCGGGCATAGTAAATGCTATGTGTTTGTTAAACACAAAGTAAAATAAAATCAGTGAGCAGCTTCCAGTTGCCCTTTCAAAAACCTGTTTTCCTCCTTTGTCATGCCAGCTCCATGAAGATAGATATTCTCTTGGGCATGTCACTGCTTATACCCCAATGCCTTGAACAAATCCCACCGTACACCACAGTCTCCATACACAGTTGATGAATGAAGGAGGTGAATCAGTAAATAAACCTGATTTCACTCCTCTGTCTCCCTCCTTTCTGCAGTCATCTACCAACATCCCAAGAATCCCCACTTCCTCGGTAAGAACACTGACACCTGGGTCAATCTTCACCTTTGCCCCAATTTCTGCCATCACCCTGGGAAAATTTAAGCTCTAGTACCACTCAATCCATTGCTACCACACTAAGAATCCCTTCATTGTAAGGCAAGTAAATTGTAATCACCAAATTCAATGAAGAGTCTTCAGTCCTTTTCTTACTTAATTTCTCTCAAGAATTTCTCTCTGTTGACCTCTCCTTTTCCTTTATTTTTAATGTTACTTATCTTTTCAGGTTCCTTTTTTTCCCCCTATTTTTCTTGATTTTTCCTTTTTTTTTTTTTTTAAGTAGGCTCTATGCCCAATGTGGGGCTCAAACTCAATGACCCTGAAATCAAGATTTGCATGCTCTATGACTGAGCTGGCCAGGCACCTCTTTTCTGGTTCTTATCCTATCAGATTATCCTTTCTTGGTCCCTCTTCTTTCTCTACAACTTTCTTTGTAATCTTTCATTTAATCACTCTCTGTATTAAATCCTATAACGGCACCCCTTGTCATCAGAATGAAATCCCAGTTCCTTACCATGGCATCTAGACACAATCTAAATCAGTTTATTTTTCCAGTTCCTATTTCAATCACTTAAAGAATAGCACACCACTTTCTCTACTCCCTCTCCCAGCAGCAGCCCCAGCAGGCACCAAAAGTGCACTAGGCATCCATGTCAAAGTGGAACTGATTCTTCTCCTACTGGTGTCCTTTTTCTAGGTTTGATTGCCAATTGTCATTGTAGGGGAGAAAGGTAGTATACATGGAGGACTTATTTACAGTGCACAGGAGATACCCAGTGAACTTTTCATTCTGCATGATGTCTCACTGCCATGACACGTGAAAGAAAGATCAGAGACAAACATAACCAAATACATAAAAAACATAAAATAGAACACCTGTTAAAATCTCAAAGGCCCTTGGAGGCCAGGAATTAGCCATGAGAAAGAGGGATAGGGATTAAGCTCATAATGCAAATTGCCCCCTTTCTTATTTACCTGAATCTGATTTTAAGACATTTTGCAGGGTTTTGCATTCGTGCGATGATGATGATACAAAGAGAAAGTTAAAACCTGAGGAAGTACATCTCTTCATATCTTCTGAACGAAAACCTGAAGGAAAAGTTTTAAAGGTGTTTAATTTCTGCATTTGTTAAAAACTCCTTTTAAGATGCAGTCAGGTGTGAGGAAGGGGATAAGAGGTTATGTCCTACTATGGTGGCCATCTATTCAAGAGCTCCAGAAGGATCAAGGGTCAGAAAAAGGAATATTTTATTTTTGTTATTAAACAAAATAATAGATACATGCATATATCTAGGAATGAAGCATCATGTATCTGAAACTTGTTTTTGAATGCCATTTTTGGCTCCTATTAACTTGACCGGAGAGAGGAGAAGATTGGGATGATTTCTACATGAAACAGTGGAAGGAACAGAAATGGAACGCCCCAAAGAGTGATATCTTTGCCCATCCACAGTCAGCTGCTCAGGCATGAAGTAAATCAATAAAAGTAGGCATGTAATGGTCCCCATCCACCTACTGGAAACCCCAAATGCTAGGTTCTGGTTCTACAGTAATTAATTCCCAAAATCCTAGGTCTACTGCCTCAATCTCTCCATTTCAGTATCTTTACCATCTCTGGTTTCCAACATTTCCTTCCCCTGGCTCATAACCACACCATGTAACAATTTCTACTCATTATCAAATGGAGTTTTGCCAAGCGTTTTTTAAGAAGGATAGAAATTAATAAAGTGTGGAAATATATTTTTCTTGTATAATTTTGCTAACTCTACTATAATAACTTCAGTATCTCTTACAGAACAATTGAGGGGGCATATATTATTATAACTCAGCAGTTTTGATTATATTTCAATTAGAACTTTCAGAAAGAACAGAAACTTCTCAAGAGTAAAATTTTTACTCAAAATAGTACTTTGACCAACTTGGAAATTCTTTAAAAGTTCTTGACATTTCTTTTAAGTACTAAGGGAAAAAGTGGGGGAGCAGTGAAACTGAGTTTAGATCAAGCCACTTGCTGGATTAATTTTCCAAAGAAATATTGCCTTTGTTGTTGCTAAAACAAAACAAAACAAAAACAAACAAACAAACAAAAACCTGTGCTTGTACATTCATTTCCAAGCAGGGAAGATATAAAATTTCAAATTCTGGCTAAATCTTAATTGGTAAAAATTAAGCTTAATGAAAAAAAAAATAAGTCAATGGAAACAGAAAAATATTGTAGTTCATCCACAAGGGAAGGTTACATGACCTCTAAATTCATGTAGTAAGTCTCACTCTCGTCCACAATTATAAAAAGGCTTGACTGAAAAGAAAGACCCTGAAGAGGTGATTTGGAATGGAGAAGGAATTATAGGTATCAGCTTAACAAAGTTGGGAGGGGCAGGTTTGATTTGGAATATTAGTAAACCAGAGCCAAAAGGTCTTTGCAAAGAAGGAATGGACACTGAGATACCACCCCTCCCCTCCCACATTGGGACACCTGGTGAGGACTCTCCTCTAATTATGAAGTCGAAAAATTACAAACTCAGTGGTGTGCACTGATTCTAACAAAAATCAGGAAATTCTAACAACACCATAGCAAAAGGAAAAAGCTCAGCTGACCTTGGAGCCAGTAGACTGCCTTACATTCTATATGCCCTTGGATGAGTCTTACCATAGCCCTGAGTCGCCATTTCTCAGTCTGTAAGACAGGAATTGTAGCGTCCACCTCACCAGATAGTAGTGAGGAGCATGGCTAACCTATGTAACTTGCCTATCATAAGAAAGGCTCTGATTTAAAAAAAAAAAAAAAAAGGCTCTGATAAGTTTAAGCTATTGTTACAAGAAATATGTAGTAAGCAAACTTGTGATATCTGGAACAGATTACTTTTAAAGGAATGTGAGTTGTAATGAACAGAGGTAAACAAAATACTTCTTTAAAACATTTTGATTTCTGAAATATAATTCCTCATTAGCTTTTCCTTGAAGAATATTACTTAAGCTGAGAAATGGAAAAGGTTAAGGAGTATTCCAAAAACCCACTCAGCACCCTCTGAGGATAGCCGATAATCATTAATGACTATCTCACATTTCAGGGTCCTCTCCAAAAGAGTAGGCAGGCTTTTTCTTAGAGCCTAAAGATTTTGAGTAGAATATAATGGATTCTTGCCATTCTGGATTCCTTTGCAATTTAATCTCTATTTGTCATATTTTAAAGCTCTAAAAGTTTAAGCTAACTACATTCGTTACCCCCATTAAAATTCCTGCAATGTTTATATTTAATAATTTTTTAATACTTTACCACTTTCTTTGATTTTTTCTGAGTTCACATAAAACAGAACTTTATACTCTCCTCCTAGGGACCCGGACTGCAGATAATGTGTCCCATACTGGTCGATTAATCTTCGGTAGGCACTGTAGTCATACAGAGAGGGAAGGAAGGAGAGCTCCTTCCAGAATGGCTCAGCAAGTTGTAAAAATTCCGGATTGTTATTGATAAACTGGGCCACTTCCACAGAGTTCTGGACAACCAACAACTGATAACTCTATGGGAAGAAGAGAGAGTAAAAAGAGTTTTAGTTTGGAGATAAAAAGGCAGTGGAAGAGCTATCCAATGTCTCCATCAGCTGCCACCTCCAACCCAAACTATATGAATTTCTATTTTAATGCATGATGAGGTATAAGGTCTTCTCTGGGCCTGCTCCCTTGAAGCAATCTATGGAACTTTTGGAATACCAAATAGGAGTAATATCTGAGTGATAACATGGTAATTTCTTGCATATATGACCTTTAAGATTTCAAAACCAAGTTGTTATGTCCTCCTCAACTAGAAAAAAGAATCAGCTTCATTAACTGCCAAACAATCTCACAAATAAGTATATAAAACAGTGTGTCCCTGGGGAGTACACAATGACTTATACGTAAGGTGACCATGTAATTTATATTCCATACTGGGGTCCCTCGCTTCATAATGAGGGGGTTATCTATTTTAATGTAATGAACATACAGTCTTCTATTAGTTGCTGATGTACAATATAGTGACCCAACAATTCCATACATCACCCGGTCCTCATCACAACAAGTGCACTTTATCCCCATCACCTGTTTCGCCCATCTCCCCACTCACCTCCCCTCTGGTAATCATCAGTTTGTTCTCTATAATTAAGAGTCTGCTTTTTGGTTTGTCTCTTTTTTGTTGTTGTTCATTCACTTCCTTAAATTCCCCATATGAATAAAATCATGTGACATTTGTCTTTCTCTGACTGACTTATTTCACTGAACTTTATACTCTCTGAATCTATCCATATTGTTGCAAATGGCAAGATTGCATTCTTCTTTCTGGCTGAGTAATATTCCATTGTATAAATATACCACATCTTCTATATCAATTTGCCTATCAATAGACACTTGGGCTGTTTCCATAATTCAGCTATTGTAAATAATGTTGCAATAAACATAGGGGTGCCTCTCCCTTTTTGGATTAGTGTTTGTATTCTTTGGGTAAGTACCCAGTAGTGGATACAATGAGGTCTTTGAGGACTTCCTAAGCATCTTGTAATGATATCCAGAATGGATCTACCTTATATCAAATCCTCACTTCTGTGAACAATATAGTATAAAGATGATAAATGTTTATCCAGCTCCTACCTCCATAGTCAGCTTCTTAGTCATAAAACAAAACCACTATTCCTTCATACCTCCCTGTGATTTATTAATCAAGTTACTGACTTCAAGAATGAGATGAAATATGCAAATTTGGAAGGACAGTCAGCCTGAAAACTTCTCCAGCACTAAGTGTCTATCAACTATTGCAATCTATCTCAACTGTTCAGGTTGCCCAAGATAAAACTTTTAGTATCTCAAAACAACAAAGTATCTAAAAATAAGGCTTTTAATTTCTCAGATTAAAATTTGGGTATTTCAAAAGTAATAAAGTGTTCCAAAATCTTTTAGTTTTATGTACCTTCTAAGTGTTAGTGTTTAGGAAGCACATATTAACTGGATTTTTTCAAATATATATAAATTTATATAACCATGTATAGTAATTATGAATTAGAAATTAAAGAAAATTTTAACTAGTAGATTTGAAAGTAATGCTTTTTCAAGATTTTCAAATAAGAACAAATACTTTAATAAGAAAATAAAAAGTAGAGAGGTGCCTGGCTGGCTCAGTCAGCAGAGCATTCCACTCACTCTTAATCTCAGGGTCCTGAGTTCAAGCTCCACATTGGGTATGGAGTCTACTTTAAAAAAAAAAAAAAAAAGAAGAAGAAGAAGGAGGAGGAGGAGGAGGAGGAGGAGGAGGAGGAGAGGAGGAGGAGGAGGAAGAAGAAGAAAAAGAAAAAGAAAACAAAACGTATAAGTAAACATATTATCCAAGAGAAGTAACAAAACATGATCGTACCTTTTAAAGAAATATATTACATTGTCTCTTTGAAGAAGATAGTACTACCCTAATTTAAAAAAGAAATCTGATCTGTTTGGTAAACACACTTTTAATTAATGTTAATGTTCGAAATATTTAAACAGTAAAATATAGAAAAGTCAACTAATATTTCATACTGACCTTTTTCTTGTGTTTTTCATTGAAATGTGGTATTGTATGACAAGATGAAGAAGACGAAGATCCAAAAAGGTGCCTTTTGCTACTAGATGATGTATAGTCTGTCAAGGTATTCTTTACATAAGACCAGGTACTGTTGTAAAATTCATAATTAAAATCATTATTTATTTTCACCTGTCAAGAAAATGAAAAAGTTTGCTATGACCAAATTAAGGCCTTGGATATAACCAAAAATCTTCTGCCATGGATCCTTTAACATATATACTTTCTTCAAACAATCTTCAAAAAGACAAATCTCTCCATTGACACAAAATGACTGTGGCTCTCATTACAATCAGGCCCATATGAGTATAAGGAATAGAGTCCATTCCACAATTACTCTTTGCTAAGAGGGGTGTCAATAATGGCAATTCCAAGTGATTCACAGAACACATCTGTGTACAAACATCTCCCACTTTCTTTTAATGTCAATAGTTAACCCAGAAGTCAGCAAATCAACCAAATTATGCTAACAGAGAACTGAAAAGCCTTTGGTTCTTGATTTTTCCTCTAATAGAGGGGAACAGAGATGCAATTTTTTTTTCCTTATGACAGACAGTAGAAGAAAAGTCCATCCCAAAAGAATTTTGAAGCAGACAACAGGAGACTCACATGTGGCTAACAGGGAAGTGAGAGCTCCAAAACAATCATTTATTTATCCCTTATTCTATCCTAGATCAAGTGTCAAAATAAAATGCCTATGGGGGCTGGCAAGTCATATAAATGTTGGAAGATTCCATGGAAGCAGGGGGATGAAGTGAACACCAACACTGTAGGAAAAGGACACCAACACTCAAATTCATCATACAGTTACTATAAGTAACTTTAAGTTCTAGCATTATCAGTTTAGCTGTTTTTAAGAAAAGAGAAAAATCTGAAATCTTGACATAAAAATCTCCAGACTTTTTTAAGTTGTTGGCAATTAATTCACTCAAAACTGTCAAACACCATGAAAATAAAACAAGACATACAAGATGACTCCCTCTCATAATGTCTGCTCTGTACAAATAGTCAAATCAGTAATTGTCCTTCCACAAGCATTTGTGTTCTTAGCATACCCACATCTGTGTTTGAGATCAGAAGATAAATAAGCACAGAAACCATTAAAATGATGGATATGGTACACTTTAAACTAAAACCTAAAAGGAATGGAAATGATAGAATGCCATGTAGCCATTTTAAATGATGTCTATGAAGAAAAATACTGATGTTAAATGAGAAAGTGGGTATACATGTGATAATCCTGTTCATTATAAGCATACAAGCATATTCCCCAGTCAAAAAAAAAGACTAGAAAGAAATTCAGGGGCTCCTGGGTGGCTCAGTCAGTTGAGTGTCTGACTCTTGATCTCAGCCCCGGTCATGGTCTCAGGGTTGTGAGTTCAAGACCTGCACTGAGCTCTGGGGATGGAGCCTACTTTAAAAAAGAAGAATCAGAAAAGAAAAACTAGAAAAAATGAGCAAAATGCCAGAAAATATTGTATTACTTTTATCACCGCCCACGTTCAAAATTATACATGCACGTTAAGAACATGCCAGCAGATAAGAAAAGGTAGATTTATTCATATCTTTTGTTAGAGCATTCTTTACATTACATCATGAAATTGGTTTGTTTAAAAGTCAAAGGCAAAAATTCAATACAAACTGAGATGGAGAATATATGTATTATTATTGACTATGAAGAAGACATTAATAAGAGTGCCATCAGAGATATCTGCAACCACTAGATAGTGTTTCAGTCCTATTTGGTTTTAGAAAGACACAGAATTTGCTTTTTATGTCTCTTAAGGAAGAGAGTTATCTATTTTCTTTTAAATGCAAGGGGAAAAAAGCCTGTTTTCCCTCCTCTTCGAATCTGCAATTCAAATACTTGATTAATGCAAATAAGCTTCTTTAGCTGCTTCAGTTCACCATCTCCTACTCTCATCTACTCTACACAGAGCTGCGGGTCACTTTTTCAAGGTAACATGATCTTCTTCAATGACCCTTAATTAATGCTCTCTCCAACCAACCTAGAAGCCCCCAAACTGATCCTTCCTCTGAAATCACAGATTCAAACATCCTACATTCTGCCACCTCTTACCCTTTTGATTCTCATTCTATTATCCATTATCCAACTTTATAGACACAAGTTCTTCTCCTTGGTTTCCCTTCTCTCTCTCTATCACCACCTTCATATTTTTACTTCCTTCTTTTTCAGATAGACCTCCTGGTTCATGACTTCAACCACTCTCTCGCCGATGACTTAACTCTCATCCCTAGATACACTTTGCCATCATGTTTTCCTGGCAGAATTCCAACCCTGTTTCAGTGCTTGCAGCCAATCTACTTAACACTATGATAGAAAAATCACACAGCTAATCGATCAGTACCACTGTAAGTCCGCTCATGATTTCCAATCTCAGGGGAACCCTTAATACAGTGCAGCATCCCTATATTTCCATTCTCTTTCTTTCCCATTCTCTACAGTATCTATTTCAAAAATTCTACCTACCTCAGTCCCCCAATCTTAGAACCACTTCCCTCACTCTCAGAAAATAACCCTAACCTCTTTCGTTACAAACATTCCCATTATCAGACATGAACTCTCCTAAACGCTGGCGAATAAGTCCACAAGCATATTTACATCTCTTCACTTCCTTTCTTCTGCAGGTGTCCTTCCTCCACCTAAAGCTAATTTCTGTCTCATCTCTATTGCGTTCCTTCCCACCACTTCTAAGGATGTATTAAATTGGTTGCTTATTCCCTCTCCCACAGCTTCAATTTTTCTTTCTCTACTGGCTTAGTCCTATCAAATGTATATGTATTCTAACTCCGCTTAAGTAGACTGTGCTGCAAGGCTTCTGCAGACATACTTTTTGAGTTTACATTCCATATTTGTTATCTATAACTCTATGATTGTGGGTAAATTCTTCAATATTTTTTGTCTCAACTTTCTTCAATTGTAAAATAGAAATGACAGTACCCACATTTTTAGATTATTACAAAGAAAAGAAGGGGACATCTGGGTGGCTCAGTTGGTTAAGCAGCTGCCTTTGACTCAGGTCATGATCCAGGGGTCCTAGGATTAAGCCCTGCATTTGGCTCCCTGCTCAGTAGGGAGTCAGCTTCTCTCTCTCCTGCTGCTTCTCCCCTCTCTGTACTTTCTCTCCCTCTCTCTCTCTCTCTCTCAATCCCTGTCAAATAAATAAATAAAATCTTTTAAAAAGGAAAAGAAGAGCCAGGCACCTGGGTAGCTCAGTCGGCTAAGCATCAGACTCTTGATTTCAGCTCAGGTCATGATCTCAGGGTGGTGGGATCAAGCCCCACACTGGGCTCTGTGCTCAGCAGCGAGTCTGTTTGACATTCTCTCCCTCTCCTGCTGTCCCTCCCCACTACTCATGCGCTCCTTCTCTTTCTCTAAAATAAATAAGTCTTTTTTAAAAAGAATACGATTTTGTTATTTACTTGATATGTACATAGGATCTCTTTTCCAAAAATATAATGAAGTACATTCAAGACTAAATACAGGAAAAGCCAGGAAATAATTAATTTTCTCCACCTTCATATTTACTCCCCTCTGCACTCATTATAAGCTGACAATGAACACAATAGTCTTTCAACAGTCTCCAGGCTGACTTAGCAAAGTGGTCCTCCTCAAAACAACCACGGAGGAGGAATGTGTTTATGTGTCCAAGACTTCCTTACAGTATGAGAAATATGAGCGAACAGAGACAGTGCATGGCATCAAAGATAGTGGCTTAGTCAACATGAAACCAGGTTTGCTCTGGACAAACCACAATGGTAATAACTGAAACAGGCTATAAAATGGACTGACCAATTCTGTTTCCTGTTTATTTACTAATGTTTATGTGCCAATGAGCCAAAAGCCATCTTCCACTCAAGAGGTAGCTGAATACCCAGTGGCCTCAGGTCTGTCTGAGTTATGGAGAGCATTTCCCATCCCAATCTCCACCCTGGGTTAGCTCTTCAATGACTGACTCACTGCCTAGTGCTTCTACTTCACTTCCCTCAGGCTCGATCCTCAAAACATCTCCATTCTTCACTCAATAACAGGTTATAATTTCCTTCTACCTCTGACAAACACCTTCAAATTCAGGGACTGGAAAGACATTTCAGATGTCAATACAAAATCCAAACCATGCTGAAATGAATGTCAGGGGTATGCTGTTATTAAATTATTTCTCTTCTTCCGAAGCTGCAGACTTCCAGTATGTCTGTCTTCCAACAATGTCAGAAATTCTTTCATGATTTTCTCTGCTCTGTAACTCTCTAAATTTGACCCCAAAAAATACATATGCAATTATCTCTCTTATAATTATGAAAGAATTATCAACACATCCTCCTAGGAAAAGAAGAAAAAATATTTCTATATATGCCTATGTTACATTATTCCTTCTGGCCAAAGGTTACCTTACAGTATATATTATTCACTGTGTAGAATTTAGAGATGGGAAAGCAATTAAATACAAGATATTGGGAGAGTAAAATAAGCTAGAAAAAGAAAGGGCTGTGAAATCTGACATATTGGATCCAAATTCTATTACTTATTAATTTGGTGATTTAAAGCAAGCCAGCTAAAGTACTCTGAGCCTCAATTTCTACCTATATAAAATGGTAAAATATTACTCACCTTCCAAAGATATTATAAGGATAAAACCTACACAAACTGCCTAAAACAGTACAGGTGCCACAGGAGATATTAAAAAATTGACAGCTACCATTATTTTTCAGATCAATTTCACTTTTCATTTCCATGATACAGTATGTTTTTAAGATTTATTTATTTATTTAAGAGACAGTGAGAGCAAGACGGAGCAGAGAGAGAGAGAGAGAATCTCAAGCAGACTCCTTGCTGAACACAAAGTCCGACACAAGGCTCCATCTTATGACTCATGAGATCATGACCTGAGCCAAAATCAAGAATCAGATGCTCAACAAACGAGCCTCCCAAGCGCCCCCATGACAAAGTAGTTCTTAAATATAACTTATTCTATTGTAATGCTGTTTGCTATTTATAATGAAAACTGCATTCTGAAGAGGGTTAAGTTTGGTAAACAAAAACCCTTCTGTCTGAACATCCTAATAGTTTTGTTGTTGTTGTTGTTGTTGTTGTTTGTTTGTTTTGTTTTTTATACTAAGGTTTCCTTAATATTATAATTTCACTTCATTTGATTGTTATAAAGTTTAGCACATTTTCATATTTATATACTTATTCACATGTATTTTCCACATTTTTTGTTTGCATTCTTAGATCATTTTGCATCATAGGTATTTTGATTCTAATTGGTTTAAAAGAACTTTTTTACATCTCTACACTTTATGCTTTGTGATAGGCATCCTAATAGTTTTTGGCTTACAAATTTGGGAGTAATAGGTTAAGAAGCTCTGAGCTGGAAATTTTCAGAATTCTGGGAAGAAGGGAGGAAAGGAGTGAAAGAAGAAGAGGTCTTAGAACAAGAGAAGCTGAAATGGGATGAGACCAGAAACTGATTTATTGAGGCTCTAAAAGGACAGATGTTTTATGATGTAGGACATCAACCATTGTTGTTGACTACGTTGGCATGACTGCAACAGAAAATCTCTCCTCTATATTCCCTTCAGATGTTCAGGATTCTCTCCCTAAATCCATAACTGTTGCTGTGTGAGTGGATTTTTTGTGGAAATCCTGGTAGAGAAGGAGGTTAGGTGTATATGACAGGAACAGCTTATAAGAAGCAGGAGCCTGGAACAAAGACCCTGAGACCCTAAGCAAAATGGAAAATTCTAGCAATGCAGATGTTGGTGAGGATAAGGAGCACAGGCTCCCCCTTCCACACTGCTGATAGGGCATAAATTGATGGCACATTCATTTTGGAAACTTTCCTGAGCAGAGTGTAACCTGTACATAACCTGTAAGGCAGCAATTCAGGTACAAGGTGTATGCCCTAAAGAAGCTCTAGCTCATCTGCATGGAACTCATGCACAAGAATGTGCAAGACATTTTCATAAGAAAAAATTGGAACCAGCGATAAAAATGTCATCTACATCAGCATGAATAAATTTCAAAACCGTAATTTTGAATGAACAAAAGTCATAGAATGTATACCATAGGACTGACTTATATAAATGGCCAAAAAACAGGCAAAACTGAATCACAAATTTTTATTTAGGGACAAAGACATAGGAGATAAATGTATACAGAAAGACAAGTGACTAATATAAAACAGAAGATAGTGGTTGTCTAGGGAGTAAGAGTGGGGAGGATATGGCCAGAGAGGCATAGATGAGAGCCTTTAAGTCAATCTTTGGCAATTCTATGGTGAGTGAGTAGTGGGCATATATGAGTATTTGTTTTATTAGCTTCCTTCAAGCTGTGTGTTTATATAAGTCACATTCTTTTGCATATATGATATATTTCACAATTTAAAAATAAAAGCATTTTCAAGTGAGCTGACACTGTGGCAGTGGTAAGGAGATCATCATGACCAGTCATGACCAGGGCCTTGAGTTTTGACACCCATAAGGGACAGACAATCAAGTTTGGGTTAGGGACTTGAAAATGAGAAAAAAGGAATAGTTCAGCTTAAATGAGACAAATTTAAATTATCATTGCCCTGTACCCCAGAGTTAAAAGAATATGTATCCTTTTTAAGCCCATATAAAACATTTGTAATAATTGACCAAATATTAAGCCACAAATAAATTCTCAACAAATACCCAAAAATCAATATCATATAAGTAACAATCTCTGGCAATAATTCACAGATTAAAAATAAATTAAGTCAATGAAATTAAGTACCTGGAATGTATAGGAAAGGATATTTCCACTCAGTCTATAGAACTTTTTTCCATCCCCACTAAACACTTTTCTGCATTGACCACCGAAACTTTTAGTGTTGATGACTGTCTTCCTAAACTGGCCAGTGAGTTCATTGTAACTGTTAAAAAAAAAGTGGGGGGGAAGAAGAAAAGATGGTTAAAAACCAAAAACAGCACTTGCTGAAAAAGAATTCTAGAAAATCTTGAAATAAATTACAGTTAAGTATCTCTTTGAGAGAGTTCAAATAATGAGAACAGTTTCCTAATGCACACCATACATTTTCCAACCTTCCCTGCATGTATAATGGCTAAAACTAAAAGCTGGGAGACTCCAACATCCCTTCAGTCTAAGAACATGTTTGGGAAATACACAGTCCTTTTGTATCTATAGCAACAGCTGGTTTTATGTTGAGTCTATAGATAAAACCAGTACAACTAAGATTACTCTTGAGGAGAGGGAATTCTTCTTTTCTTTTCTTTTTTTAAAGATTTTATTTATTTGAAGAGAGGGAGAGAGAAAGAACACAAACAGGGAGGAGGAGCAAGGAAGGAGGGGGAAGCAGGCTTCCCGCTGAGCAGGGAGCCCCAAGTGGGGCTTGATCCCAGGACCCCAGGAACATGATCTGAGCTGAAGGTAACTTCAGCTTAACCAACTGAGCCACCCAAGTGCCCCAGGAGGGAACTTTCTACAATAAATTTCACCTAAATTGCCTCTTAGCATACTGAATGGTACACTCTTTAGACTAATTTTACCATTTCTCTGTTAATGAATTTAAAATATTACAGAAAAACCACCTCTGACTCTAAAATAAACTATTTTAAAGCCTTAAAATCTCAACTTGGATCTGACCCTTAGAAGTCCTTCAGAATTCCTTTTGAAAAGACAACATGAGATTGTCCCAACTTCACTTGAAAATGAAAGTTTCCAGCTGGTTAAGAAAATTCCTTTTCAAGCTTAAATATCCCAACACAGCACTTTCTCCATTCTTTCTCTGTTCTTATTCTAATACCTCTTTGTTCTCTTGAGTAGCTCCCCGTAATTGTCACTGAACCAGTTCTCGCTCTGTTTCTCTATTTCTACCTTTCTCCCAGAAGGTGACCAACCATCTGGGTTTTCCCAGGTCTGAGGGGTTTCACTGGACATAGGACCTCCAGTGCTAAAAGCAGGATAGTCCAGGGACAAGTGGACACTCTACATTTACCACATATATTTTCAGGTATACAGGTAAGATGCCTGGATGGCTCAGTTGGGGAGTATGAGACTCTTGATCTCGGGGTTGTGAGTTTGAGACCTACACTGGGGGTAGAAATTACTTAAATAAATAAAACTTCAAAAAAAATTTTTTTAGTGTTCCAGAATGTGGCAAAGAGCTCTGAGCCAAAGGCTTAGATAGTATGACTTGTTATTAGACTTACCAAACCATAAAACAAAAATAAAATGAAAAGCTACAGCCTATCCATATACACAGGAAGCTGCCCAGTACCTTACCCACTTCCAGTAAGTTCTATGTTGGGAGGAGGTTTATCAAGGTCACAGGAAGGTCTCCGTTGTGACTCCTCGCATCTGTCTTCATCAGCACTGTCCTCTTCACAGTCAGAATCCCCATTGCAAACCAAAGATTTGCTGATGCACTGGCCTATAGACAAGATAAGCCCCCAACAAAAATAAAAGAAGGAAGAAGGTGAAAACTACCTAGGATCGAAAAGGTTTTGCTTCTGGGGTGCCTGGATAGCTCAGCGAGTTGAGCTTCAACTCTTGGCTTCAGCTCAGGTCATGATCTCAGGGTCATGATATCAAGCCCTGTGTGGGGTTCCATGCTCAGCAGATTCTCTCCCTCTCCCTCTCCCCCTCCCCCTGTTTGTGGTCACTTTTTCTAAATTAAATAAATAAATCTTTAAAAAAAAAAAAAGGTTTATCACTGGACCCCAACTCTGCACTAATATTCTACTGTGAATTTGAGATCAATCTTCAAGATGTCCAGGGAAGGACTGATGATTATTTTGGCCCTCATATTCTATTTTTTTCCAAAGACTTTATTTATTTATTTGACCAAGAGAGATCACAAGTAGGCAGAGAGGCAGGCGGAGAAAGTGGGGGAAGCAGACTCCCTGCTGAGCAGAGAGCCCGAAGTGGGGCTCGATCCCAGGACCCTGAGACCATGACTTGAGCCAAAGGCAGAGGCTTTAACCCACTGAGCCACATAGGCGCCCTATGGCCCTCATAATCTAACACACAAAATAGATCCTGACCTCAGCTGGAAACAAAATTAAAAATAAACGCCAAATTCAAATTCCAGGCTCTCAGCCATAATCAAGCCATTTGTCTGAATCTCCCCAAAATCAAAAGGCGTCAACCGCTAGAAAGACAGATCGACATCCTGCCCTTCCACTTGCAGTTCACTTTTTTTGTAATCACTGACCAAGATGCCAAAGCTCTGCTTGTTTTGGTGATTTGCTGTGTAAGACTGTGAGAGCATGGAAACTGGGTCAAAAGGTTAAAACTCAACATTTCTTTAGCACCTACTCTGTGCAAGGCACCCTTCCAGATGTTAAGGTACAGATAAAAATAAAAATGGTATGCTGGGCTTTTCATATACTTTATGATCTAGTAGGAAGGACTATGAAGACACAGATCATTATAATCCCGCATGGTAGATGGGCATGGAGGAGGCACCGAAGGGTACCAGATGATCTAACCCTTGCCTACCTCCCCAGCATTATTTCCAGCCATTCTTCGACCTGCTTCCTATACCCTCATCACACCTACGTGAATTAAAGGCCAGGCTTTCTCTCATCTCCTTGCTCTAATACATCTCTCAGCCTCAAAGGGTTTCTCTGCCTGTCATGTGCATGTCCTTCAAAAATCAAAGTACATATTAGCTCCTCTCAGAAACCATCCCTATACCACAGGTTGTAGTACAACTCCTTCATTTATGTTCTCATACTCTGCATTGCACACACCTGTTCTGATGGTGTCCCATGCACCCCACTGTTGTCTCGCGCAATCCCATACACCAAACATTTGTTGAGAGTCTACTAGGTACCAGGTACTTCAGATGCAAAAATTAAAGGAATATCATCCATATCCTCAAGGAGTTCACAAGGAGATAACCAGACCAACAAACACCCCAGATTACAGATGGTACAACGTACATATGTACAACATGCATAGGGAACACAGAGAAAGGATTTGTCAGTTGAGGAGTTAAGGAATGCTTCCTAAAAGAGGAGCCATCTGATTTGGGTTTTAGAAGTAAAAAAGGAGTTAGAGAGGTATTACCGAGGAGCACTTCTAATACAGGGATTATTTATGTGCTCTTCTGCCCATAAACTTTAATATTTGTGAAGGAAGAAGCTATGTGTTTCATTTACATATCCACAACCCTCACCACTATATCTGGAGCATAATAACAATAATAAATATTTGCTAAAAGTTGTTGAATTAATCTGATTGCACCAATGCTACCTAAAACAATAGGCCAAATAACCCTCAGTGCCCAAACTTGAAATTATGTTTCAATCACCCTGTGCATAAGAGTGACCTGTATTGCTTCTCGATTAGCTAATCAGAGTTGCTTTTCTTGTAAGCGTAATAATAACTTGGGCAGTAACCTTGTTTTTGCCCAATCTTGATGTACCAGACTCACTCTGCATCTTGACCAAAAATGCAATGTCAAGAGCAGTCTGGGTCTGTCAATTGCCATATTTCTTTTCAAAGAAGCAAGGAGTATGTCCACCTTTGCTACCAGATGAAATAATGATGTTACATTTGAAATAATGATAGCTGAGTGTATAATTAATATGCCAACAAAATTAATTTTTAGACCAATATAAATTCAGTAAAATTGAATAAATACATACTGAGCAAGTTGATCAAATAACATTTGAACTTACACTCGGCATGGAGTGTCCAAATCTATGGAAAAGATACCTGAGAAACACCTGAACCGCTCTCCACATCCCTCTTCCACCGGACATCCTAGTGTAGGTTCACACGATTGTGTTTCAAATGCACTTCCGACGCAAGGTTGACCGCCATACTGCCCATAAACAGCAACTGACCGCCTGCGAGTCTAAACACAAAACAGGTAGTGCTTTTGGACATCTCCTTTCCTTTGTCTGAGAGACAAAATTGGAGAGAAATGAATACAATTGAAGAAAACAGTGTTCAGGAAACTATTCTAGTGGGCAGATGTAAAACCACCAAAATCAATAAACCCACAGACTCACTTGTCCTTGAGCCCCGTGACACTTGGATTACTATTTAGGAAGGACTCCCAGCTACTTATTTATTCTCAGGACTGAGTGTAAAAAAAAAAAAAAATTAGTGGATCTTTAAGAAAGTAACTTGAAAGAGCCGGGTAGACACATAAGCAAACCAGTTCCATTACAGATGATTAATGTTTTTGCTCAAGCTGTGTGCCAGGAGCTAACTCGAAAGGTGAAACCAATTTTGCCAGAGGTGGGGGAAGGATCCTAGGAACCAGGGTTAAGGAGAAATTAAGTCAGAAAAGCCTTTGGAAAAGTGGTGGTAATTAATTTGTGTTGAATGTTAAGCCTTCTTCAGGAAGACAAGGCAAGGCAAAGCAATCTGGAGAACCTCATATGTCAGTACGGAAGGCAAATGGACAGCGCAGAAGCCTTGGTAGTCCAAAGACAAAGCTACTTCTTCAACAGGATTCTACTAGACAAACAAAATCACTGGCCTCTGAAATGGGAAACATGTCAAAGGCAAATCTCTGGGAGAGAAAGTATGAGAAAAGTAGAGGAAATCATTGAGCCACATGAGAAGCAAATAATTCATCTTAAAATTCAGTTAGTCAATATGAAGCCATGCATCTAACACACAGAGGTCCACAAAATCCTTTGCATCCCCAACAGCAGTCAGATGAATCATGTGAGCCTCTTTCTGTACTCACCTTTTCCCTATCTAAAAAAATAAACAAAATCTGACATTCCAGAGAATTTAAGCCTTGAGCAAAGACCAACAGGGAAGACAGGATATACAGACTGATGTGGGGCCAGGAGTGGAATGGTCAAGAAAGAATTCTTGAGATGTTTTTTTGTGCAAAAAGTTGTTTTGATGATAGCAGGGGACAAGGGCCCATGGGGAGAAAGAGCTGCACTTTTGCTCTATGAAGCTGGTGGTTATGCACTTCGTGTTCAAGGGGGAGGGGACGTGCAGGGAGTATCAGATCATAAATGTCTTCTTCGAATTTCCACTCATGAAAATACTTTTGTAGGATTTCTCCGGTGCTTGTCATTGGGCTCAATATTGACCATCAGTGAGATGAACAGGCGGTCGGTCACGAGACCCTCATGTATTTGGTCCTTATGGGAACTATGCAGACTATAGGTCAGCCTCCCACGCTAAATGTGAACACATTTCTGCTTCTGTCCCTCATCACAAGCCAAGGTGGAATCGCCTCATCCCTCCTAAGCTGGGTTAGAAGTGGGGATTCTTTCGGACAAAGGGTCACAGGAATGTAATTTGCTCTTTGAGCGGTTTTGTCAGCCTGGGGCTGACCCTGGCAACTTCTGTTGGGTCCAAGCAGAGGAGTCTTGGAGGAATAGGAGTGGGGAATGGAGCTCAGCGCAGTTCCTTGATAAGTTTTTAATCTCCATGTTTAATTGATGAAGACACCTCTCATACGTGTCTTATTAAATTGTCCTTTTCCAAAGTTCCAAAGCACAGATTGTGTAGTGTGTCTAAAGAATGCTTCCCTCTCTCTCAATATGAGCATGACCTTGACGGCTGCCCACTGAGAACAGTCTCATTCTCACCTGACAAATTCTGGTCTTATGACCCTATTTTCATTTTCACTTGTCTCTTTCTGGGTGAAAATTTTGTCATTATAATCTAGAGATATAATCATTGCATGATGACCTTTATGCAAAGAAAAAAATGCTAATATGAAAAATACCTTCCATCTCTTTCTATTTAACATTCTTTCTTAACTTGTTAAATTATAAAAATGTTTTCTGTAGTTGGTGTCTGACTTTTGCCTTGTTATTCATGTACCCATTTTCCTATAATCAGAGTAGTCATATATTCGCCCAAAGCCAAATTCTGCATTTGTGTAACTTGTTTTATAAATACCACTCACGTAGGTACCAAATGCTTGATGAAAGTGATGATTGTGATGATGCCTCAAAACAGAAATTATCTTCTATAATATGGTTCTGTTATTTTAATAATTAAAAAGTGATTTTTAAATACACATTTTTATTCAAACTGAACCACCTTTAAAATACTTTGCAAATATAGAATCATGTTGTATATCTGAAACTAATACAATGTCATGTGTTAATTATATTTTAATAAAAAGATCTTTAATCATTCAAATGTTTAAAACCTTTGAAATAAGCATTATATTTTTGGAATTTATCCTAGGAAAATTATCAGAACAGAGGACTGATTTCTATGTACAAAAATGTTCACTGAAGTTTTATTTATAATAACAAAAATGTACAAATCTTAAATCTCAAACAATAGGAAAATAGATAAATAAGATCGGTATACTCATATAGTGGAAAATAATACAGCTGTTAAAATTCCAGCCAAAAGTATAATTTTAAAACAGTAGAGGGGTACCTTGGTGGCTCAGTTGGCTAAGTGCCCAACTCTTGATCTCAGCTCAGGTCTTGATTTAACAGTCCTGAGTTCAAGCCCCATGTTGGGCTCCATGCTGGGCACAGAACCTACTTTAAAAAAAACAGTAGGATAGAGGGGCACCTGGTTGGGTCAGTCAGTGGAGCATGCTACTCCTGATCTTAGGGTCATGAGTTCAAGCCCCACATGTGGCATGGAGTTCATTTTTTTAAAAAATCTTAGGGGTGCCTGGGTGGCTCAGACATTAAGTGTCTACTTTTGGCTCAGGTCATGACCCCAGAGTCCTGGATCCAGCCCCCTTTCGGGCTCCCTGCTCAGTGGGGAGCCTGCTTTTCCCTCTGCCCCTTACCTTGCTTGTGCCCTCTCTCTCTCTCTCTAGTAAATTAATGAAATCTTTTTAAAATTAAAAAAAAAAATTTTTTAACAAAAAAAATTTTTAATAGTGGAATATAAAACTATAATCAAACAATTCTATTTTTTAAAGTTACAAACACAGAGAAGATAAATTGAAAGAATAGCAAAATGATGGTATGTTCATGTCTTTTAAATGGTAAAATTATAAGTAGAGTTTTCTTTATATAGACTTTCCCATGTTTTCTCGAATAAGTAACTTAAAATAAGGGGGGGGAAAAACAGGCACTTTTAGAAGTCCTCTATTATCTCCTGATCAAGTCCAGCATTTTATCTGTATTACTTAGAAATTAAACCTTAAAAAGTTTAAAAATGCAGGGGCTCCTGGCTGGCTCAGTCAGTGGAGCACAAGACTCTTATCTCCAGGTTGTGGATTGGAAGCCCATGTTGGGTGTAGGCATTACTTAAAACTAAAACCTTAAAAAAAAAAAAAAGTGCAAAATATTTCACTCTTCATGGTCATTCACTATTACTTAGGCAAAACAAAGCAACCATTTTGTACTTGTCAGTGTTTGTTTTAAATACGAAGAAAAGGTGAACCCAGTAAATATGAAACAGATGTTGAATTACATACTAACTTCACTTCACACTCTTCTGTTTCTCTAATAGTTAAAGAGCTAGTGAATTGCTTTATCCTATGTACAATTCTAGGCTCAAATGTAAGATTTAGAAAAGTCCTGCAAGAAAAATAAGAATGCAGAAATTACTTTATTACATTATTAATTATTAAAGCATTACTTTTCTCCCTTTAAAATTACTAATTATATTTAAAAATGCAAAAAATAACATGTCAAAAGCTAATGTCTTTTGTCCATAAATCAGCTATATCAGTATAAACAATATAGACAATAAAGAAACAATAAACACAAAGTTTTAGTATGGTCCTACCTGAGTCTTGGTACAACCATTGCATTCTGACCATGAAGCATAGGAATCCCACTGGCAATTGACTGGAGAGGCAGCTCTGTCGAATTGTTGTAAGTCAGGTAGAAGATAAGGAGAAGGGAAACATAAAGAATGGTCAAAAATAGTAAAAAAATTAGAATTGCTTCACAATTTTTTAAGAGTCACCAAAAGCATCCCAAGATACATAAAAATGTATGTGGAAGGGAGCAACTTTTTTAGAGATTAATATTTATTAAACATCTATTATGTACCAGACATTTAATTCAGACACCTGAGCTGTAGAAACAATAAGAGATAGATCACTAACTATGGGTAGAGTAGATGACAAAGATGCAGATGAATAAACAAATAATCATAATATGATCATATAAACATGATCTATAATACAATATACATCATTTGATCAATTTCATAACAGAAATGTGTACAGTAAATGTATTGTGGAAATATAGATAAGAGATTGTTCACATGTGAGAGGGTAGGTGAGAACATATAAGAGGAAGGTATTCTGGCCTTTGAAAGGATTCTGAATGACAAATTGAAGAGTTATACAGAAACTCTTCACTGGAAGACAAAAAGCTCTAAAAAGACCCTATGAGAAGTGAGAAACTGAAACCTGGCCAAGACTAAAGGGACAGAAAATTATTTTTAGATATTCCCCCTGTTCATTTAGGCTACTTCTTTCTCAAGAACACACCCAAGAAGAGTCAATTTGAGCTTAAGCAATTCTACTCCACTAAAATACATGAAAAAGGACAGTCGGTTCTCATGTGATGCTTAACTCCAGCTTTGCCAAGATCACACGGCTTGGCCTAGCATAAAAGCACATTTTACAAGGGGCAGAGGAAATCAGACTCCTGATTTCTGGATTTTGAGCACATTACTAGCCTTGAAGACATCTGGAGTCAAGGTGATTTGCACTCGTCTTAAGCCTCTGAAGTGATCCTGAGTAAGTTGTCCCCTTTGTAGTGTATGTGCCTCACATGCCTTTATGGAGACAGTGTTGCTAATCTGTCATCTTGACATGGCCATAATGATCCAAAACCTCAGTGTCTGTGACCCTTAAACAATCAAACTTGCCATTTTTCTATGTTGGGTCCCAGGGACAGGCAGAGGACTTCCCCAAACACCGAGGCTTAGGAAGAAAAGCTAGCTTGCCCTTCTCTCCTCTGTGCTCCCACAGTAGGGCGTGCAGCCCTCTCCCAGAGAACAGAGCACATCTGCACTGAAATCAACTATTTCAAGATCTGAGTCACCTGGCGGACTCGCTGTACTGTGTTGGTTCTCTTTGCATCCCCATCATAGCTCAGCTCCTAAAACATATTCTGAGAGGCCGATGAAGGGAACTGACCTGGTCCTATCCCACCCAACTGATGAGAGCAAAACAAGGCCATGGGTAAATGAGGTTGGCTTTTATCCAGGTCTCAGGAGTCAGTAAACCTAATTTCTTAAAAAAAAATAAAAAATTAAAAATAAATAAAAAATTAAAAAAAAAAATCTCTGACCCAGACATGAGCTACACTTGCGATGAGCATAGCATAACGTATAGACTTGTCAAATCACTATGTTGTACACCTTAAACTAATGTAACATTGTGTGTCAACTATATTTCTGTTAAGGAAAAACACAAAACAAAACAAAAAAACTCTCAACCTTTAATATCCAAAGAATGTTTTGCAACGACTTCATTTAAAAGTCAAATTCTGCTCTAAGTTGTGTCAATTCGAAGGTTGGTTCAATTCTCTGAATTGCAGGTAAAATCACAATACTGGGATAAGAAGAAAACCTTGAGATTTTTAGATTTCAGGTTTCTTTCTTATGGAAAAAATAAAGTAATATAAGAATAAGAATAAAACAAGCTTTTGCTATCATTGCCTTTTCTCAAAATGTGGAAATATAAAATATTAAGGGATAAAGATGTGTCAGGCTGCAATGTAAAAATCAGGCCAAGTACTAAAGAACTTCCTAAAAATAAAAAACAATTTTAATGATTTCCAAAAAAATTCTCACCTTGAAAAAACTTGGAACTCTCCTATAAATCCCACCAAGATGAATAAAATTATTACCTGGGGGTGAAGAGGGAGGAGGAAAAAAACATTACTTTAGTTTGCATTTCTTTAATGAGTTGAAAGTGTACACATTCCTACAGGTCAAGATTTGTGAGTTGGGAATATAAAGAAGGAAAGAACCATGGACCAGGCTCAATGACGGTGCTTGTCCTTTAAATTTCCATTCTAAATAAAAGTTTAATACAGTTCTATTGAGCTCGCCCTCTACTGTTCATTTCTGTAAAGACAACTAGGGGCTGGGGAATGTCATGGCCAAACAAATGGAAAATTTAACTCATTAGAGCCTCTCTTTAGGGATCTTTTAATTCCTTTCTCCACTCATCTTCACTCTAACTTCAACACTCATAAGGACACCCGGAGAGGAGGAAGCCTAGAAGAAAGACCAGCCAAGAATAAGGAGTTAGAAGGGAAATAAGCATCATACATGAAGAGTCAACCAAAGTTGAAGCACATCCCCAGTCAGAGGGTGGTGACGCTCGCCCAGACCCTTAGTTCTGTGGCTGGGTCAGATTTAAAACACCTCTGAGGCCTTTTGTAATCATCTTTCCATGACAGCACCAGCCTAAATATTGAAGATTTTGTAGATCACAAAATTATATATAAAATGGGGTTACATTTTGTTTGAAAAACCAAATATGGGGCACCTGGATGGCTCAGTTGGTTAAGGGACTGCCTTCAGCTCAGGTCATGATCCCGGAGTCCCGGGATAGAGTCCTGCATCGGGCTCCCGCTCCATGGGGAGTCTGCTTCTCCCTTTGACCTTCTCCCCTCTCATGCTCTCTCTCACTCTCACTCTCTCTCTCTCAAATAAATAAATAAAATCTTTTTGAAAAAAAAAAAAAAAACCCAAACATGTATTAAAAACAAATCTAGAAGACATAATAAAAGGTAATCCTTTACTTCTGGTATGAAATTACAGGTGATTTCTATTATCTTTTTTTCTACTTTTATGTATTTCCCTACTTTGACCACTGAAGGCGTCCATGAATAGAATTCAAATCTTTACTGGAGACTCTCTGAGTGTCAAATGTATTCCATTCATAACCGAGTGTAAAAGTCCTTAAAACCATCGTACCCCACATTTTAACAGGCCAATATTCTTTCTCTTCTCCCCGATATCCTCAGACATCTTTCCCTCTCCTTGTAGTTGAGGAGTGGCTTCCCAACATTTTTTCCAGACCTTTCTACTTGCCTTCCTAGATCACCGAGGTCTTATTAGGTATCTTTCTTCCTGCTGTAAAATCCTAGTTGCCTGCTTCTGAATTTTACTGTTCTACAAAGCTTATTATTCTGATAAACACAACCAAAACACTAATAGCTGTGGGCATCCTGGAAATGAGTGAACAATGGCAGGGGAAGCTGTGAATACTTTTCAGACTTTTCAATGAGCACATAAAGCACATAATCTAAACCAACACTTTTTTTAAGGTTTTTCTTTTTTTTATTAAAAACAAGGATTTCTTTTTTATTTTTTCAATAATGTCTTTACTCTGTGCTGTGTCAACTCATTTTTCCTCCCTCTGGGACAGCCTGTCTTATAGCTTTTTTAGTCACTCCCAGGCACTAACAAATTGTCACATTTTCAGAAAACAAAAATTCTGAAACAATCTAAACAGTCAAATTTCAATTCAGTATTCAATTTTAAATTTCTCTCTTACTTCCTGATCCCAGATGCTCCTAACAAGGGCAGAGTGGGGTTTGCTTCAGAATTCCTTCCCCTTGTGCTTGTGCTTTTCTTCCCCATCTCTCTGAGCTGTCTCTGTCTTCTTCAAAGTCACAGCAGCAGGAAGGAGAGGGGCAAGAGCCAAAAAGGGGGTCCACATTGGGTCCATGAGAGATTTGCTCACATCCTCATCCTGTTAAGCTCTGGATGTCAGGATGTAACCAACACTGTTGTGTCGTTTTACTCTGCTGAATGCAGGCCAGAGAACCAGCCTGTGCCTTTAGATTTTCATGACTAGAGTATCATTCCCTGATGTGGAAATGTTGGAGTTCAGAACAGTCAAGAAAGAATTCTTGAGATGTCTTCACTCCAAAAAGATGGGTTTATTTAAGTACAGGTATAGGACCCATCGGCAGAAGGAGTACCCCTGGAGTTGTGATGGGTGACTGATTATATACTTTCAAGTTGGGAGAGGGATTGGGATAATGTATGTATCTAAGGAATTTTGGAAGCAAGGTGTCCAAAACCCCGAAGGGGCTAACTATTGTTAGGAAAAGGTCATTTATTACTGCCTAATAATATCTTAGTCATGAGACCCTTCAGATGTGTATCAGTGGGCCATACGCTTGGAGGATGACTGCTAACATATATATCTTGGAGGTGTGTGTGGGGGGGGGAGTAGAGATAAAGGAAGTTTCCAAAGGAATCTGTATATGTTTGAGTAGACTTACAGGATCCTGGTGGGGGGCGGGGGGGAATAACATTAAGTTAAGATTGCCTTTTGTTCTTAGGAAAGTGTCAATACTGAGGCAGCTGAGTTCCTAGAGGAAGGTCACTCTACCTGTTTCAAGGACTTGTCAATGGGCAGTAGGCAGTAAGGAAATAATGTTTTCTTTTGCCTTTGTTTCCCACATCATTTCCTATATCCCCCATACTCTAAGGGTCATGATCTTGCATACTCTTAAGGATGCAGATAGTCAAAGGGTCACCAGACAGACTTAGAGCTACCCTTTTTTGTTTGTTTGTTTTGAGAGAGAGAGAGAGAACATGAGCAAGGGGAAAGTCAGGGAGAGGCTTAAGCAGAGTCTGCAATGAGCATGCAACCTGATGCAGGGCTCCATCCCAGGACCCTGAGATCATGACCTAAGCCGAAATCAAGTGTCTGCTGCTTAACCAACTGAGCCACCCAGGTGCCCTGAGATGCCCTTTTCATAGTACTGCATTGCCTGTCCCGCATCTCACTCCAAAATGTCGGGATACTGAGCACTTACTGTTCTTGGCCTTCAAGTCTCAGCAAAAGCAGGCATCATGAAAAAATTCATTAACATTCTACTGCATAAGTTTTAGAAGAATTTCAACCAAGTTTTAGGGAACACACTTTTTTTTCATCAGGACTGCCTTTGCCAACACCTTCCCCATATATGTACTCTTATTATAGCCTGTGAAGATCTGCCTATTACAAGGCAGTTTTGTTCATGAGCTATATAAGCTGAATCTTTAACCAAGAGAATTCCTTGAAATTTGTTACCTGGGTCCCTGAAAATGAAGTAGTTATCATTTCCCACCTTCAATGAGAATATCTTTTTTTAAGATTTTTATTTTATTTATTTGACAGAGAGAGAGCACAAGCATGGGGAACAGGAGAGGAAGAGGGAGTCCAACATGGGGCTCAGTCCCAGGATCCTGGGATCATGACTTGAGCCTGACACTGACGCTTAACCAACTAAGCCACCCAGGTGCTCCCAAAAAGAGTGTCTTAACAGATGAACAAGATAGAATAATCACAAGTTAATAACAAATGATGCAAAAATAAGTTCAAGTTGCTGTCTTTGCTCCTATCTTTGGCTGAACTGTAATTTTTCTAACATTCGGCTACATTGCACTGGACCAACACGTGTACTTGGTAAACTTTTAATTGCCTTCCATCCATCTGTATTTTCCACTCTCACATTCCTGACCCTTTCTTTCATCAAAGATTCCAAATTCTAAAATTCCAAGTCTTCAACTTCATTTATATAAAGCTCTTGGATGAGTCAAATCATGGGGTTTCATGGCATGACCCCAAATCAAACAAACAAACAAACCAAGTACACTGGAGGGACATTTTCCCTAAGAAACAACAAAGGTACTATTGTATTTCTTAATGCCTTTCTCAGAACTTTCATAAACATTGTCTCCAGTCTCTGATTCCCAGACCTCTGAACCACTAATTTTACTGCAAAAAAGAAAGAGGAATTCACTTTGCCTGAGTTATTAAATATATTTAAATAAGGATTTTTTTTAAAGTTACCCCCAGATCTTTCTCTTTCCTGTTTTCCCCTTTTTTGAGTCACTTTGGTTAAACCTCACTCCCTTTTGAGATCGCTTAGTTTACAAAAGTAATGAAATTATTATCTTACCTTCATGTTTGGGGAAACATTCAGAGCTGAAGAAGGAAGAAAATTTCCACTGAGTGTCGGTGAATTTTCAACAGCAGGAAGAGCCCAACAGCCTGCTCCTTCCCCGTCTCTCACTGCTGGGGATTAACTTAGCACTCATAAACAGAGCAAGTGGTTCGGAGACTTAGCTCCTACCCCGACCAGATTCTCTGGGGACACAAAGAGCCTGCCTCCCTATTTAGTCCCTGTCTTGAAGCCAGATGAGTCTTATCAACTTACACAGGCCTTAGCTTTAGCCAGCTGGAACTGTTTGGAAGTATAGTTCTAAGAAAACATCTGTAAATCAAGAAAGGCAGCAAATGTTCCCAGCTCGATGTTTAAGTGATTTTCAACCAAAGGAGACTCTATGTAAGGCAAGGGATAAGCCTCCTTCCTATTTCAATCTTCTAAACTAAGCAGATGTTTTCCAGATTCCTTAAAGGGTGTTGTACACCAGACTTGGAGATTAAACACTGTGAGAAAGAAGATCTAAACGCGGTTCCGTCACTCAGAATAGAAATGGAACATTTGGGGGTGGAATTTCCACCACTTCTCCCAACAAAAAAGGGGAAAAAAAAAACAACACAACAACAACTATACCATATATATATTTATATTTATACACATACACACTAACACAATATTACCTCTATCCCCTCATGCTTGACCTCCACAGAATGGTTGGAAACAGCACCATGTTTTGCAAACATACTGAAGAGCATCATTAATTTTCCCAAGTTCGTCCCCTAATCCTTTGATGTGGAGCTCACTATTGAAAAGTTCTTATCATGGCCATCACCCTCCATCCATTTTCTCCTCTTCTGCTATTGCCTTGGCTAATTCTGCCAGACCCTCGTTCTCCAGAGGTTTGCATTGATCCTAGCAGTTCTCAGCATCACTTTCAAAGATTGCATGAAAGCTGCATTTGGGGGGGCAAGAGTTCAGATTTTCTACTGAAGCTGAGCTATAACTTGATTCACGTGGTTTGGCCAAATATTCTGACACTAGCTGCTAGGGCTTTAATAGGAGAGAAGTTAAGTGTTAAGTGGGAAAGGATTTTTGCGTTGAGAGTAGTTTTATAACTAAACATTCCATTAGCGAATATTTTCCAGTTTTAATGATTTATTTCTTTCTTTATCCAAAGAACTTGAATAATAGAGACTAACCCCTACCCTCTCTTCATAAATTAAATGGGCTCCCAGAGACAAATCTTCCACATCCTTTGTTAAAACCATTAGTGATTTGTGTGGAAGAAATTTTGCCACAGAGAAAATGACCCCTAATTCCTGAAAGATTTTGTTGTTGTTGTTCAACTCCACTTGCATGATTTCTAAATGTTATGGACTCTTCTTTTTTTTTTTTTTTTTAAGATTTTATTTATTTATCTGACGGAGAGAGAGATCACAAGTAGGCAGGACGGTTGGGGGCGGCGGGGGGCGGGAGGGGAAAGCAGGCCTCCCGCTGAGCAGAGAGCCCGATTCGGGGCTCGATCCCAGGACCCTGAGATCATGACCTGAGCTGAAGGCAGAGGTTTAACCCACTGAGCCACCCAGGTGCCCCTGGACTCTTCTTAAGGACTCACTGTGCAGGGGAGCCTGGCTGCTTCAATCAGTGGAGCATGTGACCCTTGATCTTGGGTTGTGAGTTCAAGCCCCATGTTGGGTGTGGAGATTACTAGAAAATGAAATCTTAAAAAAAAAAAAAAAGTACTCAATATTTGATTCCACATTAAACAGGTTCATTTGCATTCCCCTGAAAGCCCAGATTCTGAGATAGGAAATCAACTACAAGTACGCTTTTTGGAGAGTTTGAAGGGTTTGGGCTTTGTGTTTTGGCTGGGTTTTTTGTGGGGTTTTGTTTGGTTTTGTTTTGTCTTATTTTGAGAAGTGCTCTAAGCAGATATATCAACCAACACCCTATCATTGATTGAGGGTGGCTCCTAGATTCAACTCTCCAACACTTCCAGTTTGCCTTTGGGGTAGGGCTGGCAGCACTAATAGCTGGCAGGGTGGAGGGGGTAAGGGCCTTCAAGTAGACTGTTTCAGGTATCAGCAGTATTTGCAGATAATTGCCTGTGTCATGTAGCAATGAGTGCTGAGGGGAAATAAGTAGATACCAACAGCACTGCTGTGGTAACTTGTCATTCGTACATGAATGCGTTCATTAATTTGTTTATTCTAATTCAACAAATGCTTACTGAGGATGCATGACATAATCGGCTAAAGATTTTGACAGATAGAAGCCTTGAGCAATATCTTTTATTATTTTTATTCCTTACATGCTATAAAGATCATGTGAGCCAATGTATAGAGACCATGATCCCAAGGTCCTGGGATCGAGCCCCACCTCAGGCTCTCTGTTCATCAGGGAGCCTGCTTCCCCCTCTCCCTCTGCCTGCCTCTCTGCCTACTTGTGATCTCTCTCTGTCAAATAAATAAATAAAATCTTTTTTTAAAAAATTTTTTAATGTCTCCAGATATTGCGAAATGGCCCCAAGAGGCAAAACCAGCCCTCCTCTACTGAGAACGACTGTTACGGTGTCTCTCTCTAGCAAATGCCCAGCCTTAGAATCACAAAGCCCACAGCACCTGGCATTGTAAATTAAATGTTCTAAAAGTTGTACACCAAGTAAAATGTCTTAAAACTTTTCTCAAACCAGAATTCCAAATTCATGTGACCCCAGAACTTGCATTTCTAACAAGCTTGAAAACTGGTTTCACAGATATGCTTTAGCAAATGGTGTCTGAACCAATACTGAATCTGCGGAAGACGAAAGCAGATTTTTGCCAGACTGGGGAAGCGTCCACAAGGGCTCAATCCTCTCCCTATCTCCTGCGATGACACGTTCCCTATTCCCCATTAGTCTTCACTTTCCTTGGTAGCACTTCAAAACCTTGAACATCCCCAGGCCCTAATGATACACACCCCTGATGATATCAAGAAGCTGTTATGGTCCAACTTGGGGAGATTCTTGAAAACATTTTAACAAGCCTATTTCATTTGCTAGCCATTCGTTCTATCCTAAGTTGTACCACTGACTCTAGGCGCATAAGAGGAATAAACTTGCCAAGGAAGAATAAAGCCTCCTTCCTAAGTTCTGTTGTGTCTGTCAAGGTCAGAAATCAAACGGCCAGAAATTGGCGCAAAAGGCAACAGTGCCCCCTAGTGGCGAACATGCTGCAATGCCTCAAGTAATAGATTAGCGTTAGGCTCTGGAGTTAAATCACTCAGGAGTGAGAAACATTGAATCTTCTTAGTCTCTCAGTCAAGTGCTTGTTAAGCTAATAAGGACTCCAGGTGGTATCTTCTTTTTCCATTAAAGTGTCATGGTGTGAATAGTTTGAGAATGAGAAATGGTTGCTAGGCAATACTTACCTAAAGGAACTTTTCAGCAAAACGACCGTTAAATGGCTTTATCATGTACCTAATCAGAAGATGCCCATCTCTGCTGGGAGCACTGCATACAATACTGTGATTTGTGCATTATTTAATTAGTTCATTTATTTCCTTCCTTAGTTATTTATTTTAAAGGAGATAGAAGTTTATTGAATACACCACAAGGGAGCGGCCAGTAGGGCAGCAAAGGAGAGACTGTCTGTCTGCCTGCATTAAAGTGAGGTCACCAAAAAAAAAGGAAAAAAACAGTGGGGTCATTAGATTAGTACTGTCTGTTGGTACCCAGTCCCTAAGAATGATGTGTAAGGTTTAAATAGATTAAGAAATATTTCCAGGGCATTGCACTTCCGTGTAGACATCTGTTGTTGCTGTTTACAATACTGGACGAGCCTTTGCCTTGGGGGCCCTGATGGCTGCGGATGGCAAGGATCCAAATAAAATCAGGAAGCCATACCAGGCTTTGTTGTTATGGGTTTCAAGGTTCTCAATAGCAGCAGGCATCTGCTAAATTTAGGAGAGGGTCTGGCCTGGTTTGGGTTTCTGACATCTGGGTTTTTCAGTTTTCTGCAATGTCGTAGCCTACAAGGCCAAGATACATTTCATTTGGTTTAAACTTGAATTAAGTCAGAGAGCTCTGAGAAGGAAGGCACAAAATGCAAAGATTTTCGCGGTTCCATAACTGCCTTGTGTAAAGACCTGCAGAGGAAGGGTGAATAGCAAAGGACAATGTCATTTATTTGATTTGCACAGTAAAGTTGGGGTGTCTATGCAGAAAGCTGGTTTGTTGTTGTCATTGTTCTTGTTGTTCTTGTTGTTTTTCCAGATCAAGAGTTCAGCATATTATAGTTCTAAAATAAAAAGTAATCACTTCTGGAAAATGTCAATCTATGCCATAATTTTAAGCTTTATCTCCTTAAGCTGTCTCCACACAGATATAGTTTGATATCAGATTTATCATTCCATGTTCCACAGGCCAAGAAAAAATAATGAGTGGTAGATAGAAATAAAATTCTGAATTATACAACTCTTCAAATGTTTGTGAAAAAGTTTTAGAAAACAGTGAAGAACAGTCACAAATGCCTAATTGGAGATTTCTTTAAATGAAGAACTCTCCTGAAAGCGGTAAGTCACTAATCTGTGTACGAATATGTGTCCTAAAGGCAGAGCATGGATTCAAATCCTAGGGAAGTTGCTCTGTCTCTCTAATCCTCTTGCTTCCTTACCTGAAAAGTAGAAATAATATTATCTAAATTATAGGGTTGTTCTATTAAATAAATCCAGGTAAAGCAATTAGCACTGTGCCTGGAATGTAGGAAGCCTGGTCAGATAAATGTGAGCTGGAATACAAAGGATTAGAAACAACACAGGGGTGCCTGGCTGGCTCAGTGAGTAGAGGAGGTGACTCTTGATCTCAGGGGTGTGATTTCAAGCCCCATATAGGGCACAGAGCTGCCTACTTTTTTTTTTTTTAAAGATTTTATTTGTTAATTTGACAGACAGAGATCACAAATAGGCAGAGAACCAGGCAGAGAGAGAGGAGGGGAAGCAGGCCCCCTGCCGAGCAGAGAGCCCGATATGGGGCTCAATCCCAGGACCCTGAGATCATGACCTGAGCCTAAGGCAGAGGCTTTAACCCACTGAGCCACCCAGGCGCCCCCACAGAGCCTACTTTAAAAAAAGGAAAGAAAGAACGCAAACATGCATCAATAGTAGCTTGGTTAAATAAATTATAGCATACACAATTAAATGGAGCATTACACACCTATAAAAAACTGAAGAGGTTCTCTGTGCATG